ACCTGTGCATGTGTAAGCGGCTGAATGCACCTCGCAGTTACGAACATTCTGATTCTTTTTGATTCAGATGGTTACACGGCCGATCAGGTACGTTACGTATGGTCGACGGGTGAGAAGCAAGCGCTCAAGCTTCATAAGATTCGTTTGCCAGATTTTCAAATCAAAGAAGCGTTTGTGACCAGCCAAACGGAAATGTATGCAACAGGTGAATGAATCTAGAGCGTTCTTATCTTCTTGAATTTGTTGATTGCCTTATTTCAGCAAATCAACCGTGATTTCGCATCGCTTGATAAAGTTAATCTCTCATCACTCCAACTTCCAAGCATATCTTTTTGATCCTGAGATGTGAATGCCTCGATAAAATCATTTTGTTCAGTTCTGCACTGTTTCTTCATCTTATTCTTGATCGCTGACTGTCATTTGTAAACTTCACAGGAAACTACAGTCGTTTATACGTATGCTTTGTACTATCCCGAACCGCAGGCTTCTGCTTCCTTCAGCTAATTATTCCGTCAACTGCTGTTGTGATCACCTCATGGGTCTCACTATGGATGGAAAATGAAACATCATTCCAGGTCGGCTCATTCGAAAAATCGCCATTCGAAGCAGTTGTTGACTTCTTAGCCTTTCAACGTTTGAGGCTTTGCTCAAAAACAGAGCACCATTTTGATCATATTGAGAGTTGTGATCATAGCGTGTCGATGGCTTGTTCAGTAGCAAAACTGGAGATTCTGTCTTATACGTTTGTGATGTTAGTTTTTGATGATGTGAAGATAAGGATCCACACTAATGAATAAGGACGATAATGATGATTGAGTAGAGTTATGATACAACTGATGATTGCGAAAGATGCCGACGATAGCGAGTACAACGCTCCAATAACTGCAAGTGACAACACTGAGTACACCGTCAACACACCACTTGGCACTGACTCACATACTACACTGAGCTACTTATATGGTCATTGGGATTAGCTGATTATGAAATAATGGTTATGAGTTGCCAATGGTGGTCAGAGAATACACGATATGCAAAGCAGTATAGACAGACATACAAGAAACTGTAAACAATAAACAAGAGATCAAAGCTTTATCTCAATATCATCCTTCATTATAAAAGTCCATTATGCAGTCGTTTCACAGAATTGACTGTTTCGAAATTATGTTGGATCATCATTCAGTGCGACATCGTTGAAGTGGAATGAAAAATGAATGCGGAGCATTTCAGGATATGATCTCAATAATATTGACCATTACATTTTTGCTCTTTTCTTACAATGAAGTTATGCCGAGAGTTAGCTATATCAAAGCAATGGACGTTTATCTTGGTGAGTTTTCATTTAGTGTCAATCCTTTTTACACACCTCCAAAACACTTGTTTTTTGGTTCTTTATACAATATTGAGTTCGTTTTCAGTCGATAACTTGAGTAAGATTTTAATTTCAAGCAATTAAATCGCTTGCATTCTCGAAGAAATAACTAACATAAGTGATCATTGCAGGTGTATGTTTCTGTATTGTTTTTCTCTCCTTGATTAAATTAGCTACCCTCAAGTACATGCGACAAAGACTGCGAATAACAAGGTATATCTATAGATTTCAGTTTTATTATAGGAAATTTGACCGTACTTAGCGATGTTGACTGTCCTTAGCTATAATATATCATTTGCTGCAAGTAAATCAGTTCAACGCAGCTCTTGATTTTGAACTCGTTGTTCTCTCAAGAGTCAAATTTATTCACCGTATTCATTTCGAATGCATTCAGCTAATGAAACAGATAGTACGTTGACATTTTGCAATGAGATATCTACAAAAACTTGATAATTTTTGATGATATCTTGATCCTCGGGTTACTGGTCGAAGTTTAGAGACACATCAGTTGTGGCTGGACTTCTTCCGATGCTTCAAGTTGGTTCCAGCATTCATTCGCGATTGGCTACACCAGTCCAATCACCACCAACTTTACAAAAATCGAATGGACTCAAGCCTCCTAAGTAGGCATTTTAAATAGAAATGATGTTGAACCAAATATCGTGTGAAGAGATGAGAATTTGGAATAAACGAGTGAGAAATATGCGCATATTTTGGTTAGAATTCGCAGAGTGAGTTTGACATTAGGTTGGAAGATAGCGTCAATGAAGTAAAATAACACCGCCGTTTTGATAATGCGAACTTTGAAGGTGTTTTGAACTGATACTGCGGTTTCAGTGCCTTTATCAATTCTGGTGAGCGGTCAGTGCTTAGTTTTCGACTAAAATTGGAAAACTTATCATTTCTACAGTGCATAATTATGCTGGTTTTGAGATTGCTGAATTACATAGCAACACATTTGCTGACAAAAAGCACCATCCA